ATTTCTCCCGGCGCACTCCTACTCCCACTATCCTACCTCAGCGTCTACCACTCAGGATCGTCACCCTCCAGCCTTGGGGGTGACCTGACCGAACCATGGTTGTAAGTACCAGGGCTAAGCTGAGTCCCACACACCCGACTCCGCCCTGATCGAAGCATATTTGTGCGAGCCTTGTCGCCCAGGTAATTCAGGTGCTAGGTACAGAAGTTTCACTACAAGTCCCATAGGTGGACCTATTTTGCGTTCCTATCGTTGTGTACACAGCTCGCCTCCCCCGTGCCCTCCAGACTATGTTATAATCCGCCCTCCCGCCTTCCCCGTGCCCTCCAGACTATGTTATAATCCGCCCTCCCGCCTCCCCCGTGCCCTCCAGACTATGTTATAATCCACCCTCCCGCCTCCCCCGTGCCCTCCAGACTGTGTGTTGCCTCCATGCTTTTGCCTTGCTGCTTTGCCTGGTTCCTTCTTGTTTGGTGTTTACTGTCTTTTCCATCCTGCTGCTCTTTTCTTTTGTTACTTTGGGAATACTGCTGTTAGCCTATGTCAGTAGTACATCTCCAAGGTGCTTCTATCGCTATTCCCCATGATAAAAGACATAAGCCCGACACACAAACTCCTTCCTCCTTCCTCTTGCGTATTACGAAGCCCAACACAGACACACTCCTTCCTCCTTGCTCTTGTGTATTACTAGTGATACATATGAATGAGCATCATTAAGAGAACAGACAAAATATATAAGTTGAAGATTTCAGAAGAAATGAACAGGAATACACCTCTGCCTTTGCTCTGCCTCCTTTCATAGTGTGCAAGCGGGCCGTTATGGCACACCGGAATGCGGGCAGCTCGTGCTCAACCACAATCAACGTGGCGAGCCTTGTGCATGAGAGGCATGGTAAAGGGGGAGCTGCAAGAACAAATGAAAGGGGTACCCCAAAGCAAGCAAATGTGTACACAATCAAGAAAGGGGTTTACATAGCTCTACTGTACTTCATGTTGCTTGCTGTAGAGGTGCAACTGTTTCATTGTTGGATTGCATCAATTAGAGGGCTTTTGTTGTCTGCAATAGGATTGAATAGGATTGAATATGCTTTGATTTTGGATCTGATCATCTGGGTGGAATAGGGGCTGTTGTGGTGAAAATTCAAAACACACACACACACACACACACACACACACACACACACACACACACACACACAC